CTGACTGTTTCTGTTTGGCCCTCGAACTAAGAATGGGTTTTCAAATTTTCAAATGGTTGAAAAAAATTCAAACACAGATTACTATTTCATGACACATGAAAATGATATGAAATCAAATTTCAGCACCCCAAAATAAAGTTTTATTGGAACACAACCATGCTCATTCATTTACTTATTTGCCTAGATCTGCTTCACATTACAATGGCTGCAAAGCCAGAAATATTTCCTATCTGGTCCTTTATTGAAAAAGTTTACTGACCCATGGTTTAGACCATTCAGAACTTTGTGCAGATAGATCTCTATCTTTCCATGTTTCAGTGGTAATGAAGACTTCAGACCTGGGCAGTATACACACAAGTAAATCAACATTTGTGAAGGCAGAAGTTGTCACTTTGTAGCAATAAAAAGAAATGCAAATAAAGTACAATAATAACGAGCTCTTTTTGTTCTTGCTAATAGAGCAAGAAGAAAAACAACACCAGCAAAAAGAGACAGAAGGCGGGACCCGGTGGCTCACGCCTGCAATCCTAGAACTCTGAGAGGCTGAGGCAGGAAGATCGTGTGAGCTCAGGAGTTCGAGACCACACTGAGAAAGAGCAAGATCCCGTCTATACTAAAAAAAAAAAAAAAGAAAGAAAGAAATTAGCTGGACAACTAAAAAATATATATATAGAAAAAATTAGCCAGGCATGGTGGCGCATGCCTGTAGTCCCAGCTACTCGGGAGGCTGAGGCAGGAGGATCACCTGAGCCAAGGAGTTTGAGGTTGCTGTGAGCCAGGATGATGCCACAGCACTCTAGCCTGGGCAATAGAGACTCTGTCTCAAAAAAAAAAAAAAAGAAAGAAAGACGAGTGGAAGCAGGAACACTGGTACAGTTAACGTCATTATGAACTGGCTCACCCTCTGACAAACCATTTGGCAGAATTATCAGTCATAAAAGTGTTCATACCCTTTGGCCTAATAATCCAACTCCTGGAAATCTATCCTAAGGAAACATTCAAAAGAACAAAATCACTGTGTCAAGATGTCCAAATCAGTGCTCTTCTAATAAAATAACAGAAACAATCTGATATTTTTATCAATAGGAAATGAATCAGCAGATTGTGAATCTTTAACTCAATTAAACACTGTATACTCAAATAATAGACATGAAGACCAGATACATGAAAAGTTATGCTACAATAAAAGACTATATAGCAACTAAGCATGAAGAAGTCAGAGGATCATGGATATACAATTAATTAGGAGGTAAAGGGTTATAGATATATAATTTAGAAAAATATCTTATTTCTAGGCCGGGCTCGGTAGCTCACGCCTGTAATCCTAGCACTCTGGGAGGCCGAGGCGGGCGGATTGCTGGAGGTCAGGAGTTTTAAACCAGCCTGAGCAAGAGCAAGACCCTGTCTCTACTATAAAGAGAAAGAAATTAATTGACCAACTAAAACTATATATACAAAATTTAGCTAGGCATGGTGGCGCATGCCTGTAGTCCCAGCTACTCGGGAGGCTGAGGCAGGAGGATTGCTTGAGCCCAGGAGTTTGAGGTTGCTGTGAGCTAGGCTGACGCCATGGCACTCACTCTAGCCTGGGCAACAAAGTGAGACTCTGTCTCAAAAAAATATATATATATATATCTTATTTCTAAGGACCCTTAAACCAGTTTTGACAATAGCAAACAACTGTCATTAGCCCTTTTATAAGAAAAAGCCTTTGCAGACAAAGATGACACACACATACAGAACTCAGGACAGAAGCAAGACTCCGGTAACACATTTCTTACAACAGAGAAAATGATCATTACCAGTACTTTGGTCCAAACCAATTTATACCTATAATCTCCACTTCAGAAAAAGTAAATCCATAGTTTTCATAACCCCTAAGGGACTAACAAGTAACTAAGAAAAAAAGAGGAACTATTCTTAGAAAAACTATTAATAGAATCACTGTAGAATCTGGCCATTGTGTCTATTGATACCTTTAGATTTTGGTCCTATTTCAAGCTATTCTCTTTTACTAGACAACTCTTTACTTTTTTGGTTTTCATCTAATCCAGAACATTGTAAGCACTGCCCTTAAATCAAATTGAAATGAATAGCATAAAAGCTTTCTATCAAAACTACTAATTGTTTTCACAGGCAATGTATGCAAATGTACTTCGTTCATACCATTCTTGCAAAAATGTGCTGACTGGGAAAAAAGCCTACAAAATAAATGTGCCAGCTTAGGGGGGTGGTGAGGAAATCCTACAAAAGGAATGTGCCAGCTTGTATAAATAAATAAGTGAATAAATAAAATCCTACAAAAGAACTATATTGGCGAAGGATAAAAAAAGGCTGCAAAACACTATGGTGCTATTTGTTTTTATATCTTTATGACACTCAATAGAGCCATATACAGTGGTCATATTCTTATCTCTGGTACAACATTTTGTAGAAAACCTGCATGAGACAGTATCATACAGGTAGGAGGGCACAGGTTCATAAATCACATGCTTCTTGCAAACTATGAAGCACAATTTAAATTTAAGGCAACAAAATCCAACAAATTGTTGCCTAGAGACAACCCAAATGTCTAGTGGCTGATGAATGGATAAACAAAATGTGGTATACTCATTAGTGGAATATTATTTGGCCATTAAAAGGAATGAAGTTCTGACACATGCTACGATGTGGACGAATCGTCAAAACATTATGCTGACACAAATGACCACATATCATGTGGCTCCATTTACATGAAACGTCCGGAATAAGCAAATCTATAGACAGAAAGTAGATTAGTGGTTGCCTAAGTTTGGTGACTGGGCTGGTGATAACTATAGAGTTTCTGTAAGAAATGATGAAAATGTTCTAAAATTGACTGTGGCCTGGGCACCATAGCTCATGCCTGTAATCCCAGTGCTTTGGGAGCCCAAGGTAGGAGGATACATTGAGCCCAGAAGTTCAAGGTTACAGTGAGCTATGATTGTGCCACTGCACTCCAGCCTGGGTGACAGAGGGAGACTCTATCTCTAAAAGACAAACAAAAAAAATTTTTTAATTAACAATAAAATAAAATTGATTGTACTGACGGTCACATAACTGTGAATACAATAAACCCAGTGAACTGAACACTACTAACAAATGAATTGTATGGTATGTGAATTATATCTCAATAAAGCTGTTGTAAAAATTTTACAAAACAAGCTTTGGCACTGTATTTAAGATTCATCAAAATCATCAACATGATTTTTATGTCTACCATAAAGAAAACCCCAAATCTGAATTAAGTCCTATTTCCATCAAGTTTTTAAATATATTAGCACAATGCTCTTTTTAAAAAGCTTAGTGCAATTATCACTGAATCTTTTACAGCAGATATAATTTTAGAACATTAATTTTTTTCACTGTTTTTTGTCACTTAGACAATTATTTGAACAAAGTTTCAAAGTATTTGAAAACATCTAAATGCCAAAGAATTGCAAACATCCATGAAGAGGAGAAAAAAATTTCTTATATAGTATTTATACAGAAAAATGTTAGTCACATAGAGAACAATGGCTTCTTATCGAGAGAAAGGAGGGAAATGTATTCACTTTGAAATCTTCCTGTTTTAAATTTCACTCTTGCTAGGAAAAAAACTTTATATTCCTTAGAAGCTTTATGTACATCTTTAAAGCAGAAACTTCTTTTATTTCTGGTCTATCTCTTCCTAGAGTTAAGAAGGCTTTTTTCTAAGGTATTATTATAACTTCACAAGAATGACTGGGACAGCAAGATCCCTGGGCCTTCCTCTGCAATGGCACCTTTAGCACCTGCCCTACCCCCTTTATCACATTTCTCCCACCAGTTTTGAGGCCCAAGGAGGGCAGGGCTGGTATCTGTCCTGGTCACTGCTATATCTTCAGAATCTAGCATGGTGCATAGGATGGGCGCTCAAGATATATTTATTAGGCCGGGCGCGGTGGCTCACGCCTGTAATCCTAGCACTCTGGAAGGCCGAGGAGGGCAGATCACTCAAGGACAGTAGTTCGAAACCAGCCTGAGCAAGAGTGAGACCCCATCTCTACTATAAAAAAAAAAAAAATAGACAGAAATTAATTGGCCAACTAAAAATATATATAGAAAAAAATTAGCCGGGCATGGTGGCGCATGCCTGTAGTCCCAGCTACTCGGGAGGCTGAGGCAGAAGGATGGCTTGAGCCCAGGAGTTTGACATTGCTGTGAGCTAGGCTGACTTCATAGCACTCTAGCCCGGGCAACAGAGTGAGACTTTCTCTCAAAAACAAAAAAGATAAGGGGGACGGGGGAAGGGCATTATTTGAAACCTTAAAATTTGTACCCCCATAATATGCTGAAATAAAAATTAATTAATTAATTAATTTTAAAAAGATATATTCATTAAATTAAATTCAGGGCTTTGGAGGTTTTTTTATACATTAAGTTATTCTCATATAATATGTTAAGCTATGAAAAACCTTCCACAGAAGTTAGAATTAATCTTATAGGGAGAAGGAAGATCAGCAAATATCAGAAGGCAAGCCACAGCATGCTTTCCTCGCCCCGTGCTGGGACTATGGTCACGTGCCACTGCTCTCCTCTTCAGAAGTTCATTCATGAGTCCCTTGGACCAATCAGACATTAAACAATGAAATGGGGATGGGTTTCAAAGTAGTGGAGAGAGCCATGGATTCAAAAGAACAGCATGTGAATCAGGGCGCTCTATCCAGAAGCATCGGTGATTCACAAAACAGCCCACAGAACAGAGTGGCGTGCAGATCGCCTGTGAAGGGGAGTTCATTTGTGTTCTTCCAAGGCCCACCGGACAGAGAACTTTTCCAGGGCAAGGAATGCCCACAGCAGAGGGTCAGCCAGGGCAGGGAAGAGGGGGGCAGAGGGAGGGTCAGGGGTCCAGAGGCTGTTAGATGAGGCACAGGTGAGCCTCCACCAAGAGGACTAGCGACCTGCACAGTCATGGGAATGACACCCGACACCCGGTAAAGTAAACGATCTGGGAAACTTACTTAATATTGAATTCTCAGTTTTGAAAACAGTTCTTCTTATTCCCAGCCTCATTGTTCCTCCCAAATTGCCAGGGTTGTGTTCAGGCATATCAATCACCTTAGAAAACAAAACAAATCCAGTTTTGCCATCTTGTAAAAATGTAATTTCTTCAAATTCAATTTTTCAATTAGGGAATGATTACTAGGTAAGCATGTTCCCTAAACTGCAACATCAGATCAGACCTTGCGACGTTCCTGTTCGAATATGGCAGTAATGTATACACTCTTCACGCTGGGCTTCCTCTCCGTCCCTGCTTCTCATCTTTATAAAAAAATGTATGAGAAGCATCTTATGACCTTCCTGCTGCCTTACTCATACTGTCAGTTCTAGGCAATGTTCACACTTCACGTTCTGGGCCTCTGGGGCCTCCCACGTGGGTACTCATGTCTCTCCCCCATAATCCTCCTCCCACTGCCTGCTGCATTCCCTAAAGATTTTCCATAAGCAAATCTGTCAGGCCTTCTGGAAAGGTGTACTGAAAGAATCTATTTATAGAAAACTGCTAAAAGGATTCCTTTTAAAAAAAAAGAAAAAGTAGTATCATCCATTCTAGCACATTCTGTAGATCAGAACCCTAGAGGGCATCCCTGATCTCTCCCTCCCCAACTTTGTCAAGTCCTATTGATGTATCCCTTCCAGATTTATCTAGTCCACACTTCCTGCACCCACCCACTTCCCTTCAGCCACTCCCCAGGGTACAGCAATGGCGCACCATTGATGGGCCACAGAACATTCTCGAAGTTCCAGGGCACCCTTGCACACTGCAGGCAGAGTGATCTATTCAACTGGCAAATCTTACTTAGTGTGGCATCTCTCCTGCTTGAAACCTGTGACAGTGGTTTCACCCCAACCTAACCTAACCCTCCAGTGTCATCTCTCGGCCAGAGCACTGGCTCTTTCAGTTCCTCTAATGCATCTTATTTCCTCCCGCCATGAGGACTTGGCACATGCTTAGAACATCCCCTCCCATGTCCCTGCCCTCTTTTCCCAAATGAACCCATCCTCAACCCTGAGGACTGGGGTTCTCAGCTCAACTATCCAACTTCGGCATCTCTGAAGCTAGTATTTCTAGAAGCCGTAGCCCAGTCAGGATCCTCTGTCTCTGCCCTGCCAGAATCCGGCTCTTCCCCATGGCTACCTGGCCAGTGCTTTGTGTGCAAAATTGTCTGTCTCTATGAGCGGGGCACCTTTATCTTTGATCACTCCAGAGAAATTAATGAAAGGGTGATTTTTATGAAAAGCCTCTTCTAGAATCGTAATTCATCTGTTTTCTCAGCTCTGTTCACTCTGATCTCGTTGTTTGTTTCATCTTTTTTTCTAAGTTGTTAGAACACACTACACTTGAGTGAGTAAATCTGTTCTTTTTTTTTTTTTTTTTTTGTAGAGACAGGGTCTCGCCGTATTGGCCAGGCTGGCCTCAAACTTCAGGCCTCAAGGTATGCTCCCATTTTGGCCTCCCAAAGCACTGGGATTACAGGCGAGAGACCCTGCACCCGGACAGAGTCAACCTGTCCTAATGATTACAGTTCTGCTTAAGCTTCTCTCTCTCATAAAATCTTTCTTTTGTTGTTTTTTTCCACACCCTAACTGCCACATAGTGCAATATAGGAATCTGTGACAACTGGAATTCCCTGAAGTAAAAGTTTTCCAAGAAAACGTCTGATCTTATCAGTGCCCCAGAAGAACTTTCGAAGCCATCTGAACCCGGTGACCCAAGGTCTCTCCAAGAGTCACCTCAGGGAAGGAGTGGAGAAAAAACTCAATGACCTCCCTTGTTGGATGGAGTAATCGATTTTGAAGTATTCTTGGCCCTGGCATCTCTTCCCTATCTTTTTCACTTGGCTAATTGTGGCTAGTTAAGTATTGCTGGAGTGACGTGAAATAGGGCATTAGTTTCTAGTTAATGAAGCTGAGCTGGCCTCTCCGTGTATATTCTAGGAAAGGGCAGATAAGACTGCACTACCTGCCACATATTTATGAGAAGTCCTAAGTATATTCGAAGCCTCAATTTCCACTCAAGTTTACGACAACCTGAACCATCTAGGCAGACTACAGCGATAATCTCCCTGGGTTCCTTGTTGGGAGTACACTGTAGAACAAGAGCTCTGGCCCATGCCTGTAATCCTAGCACTCTGAGAGGCTGAGGCAGGAGGATCACTTGAGCTCAGGAGTTCAAGACCAGCCTGAGAAAAAGTGAGACCCTGTCTCTACTAAAAATAGAACAAATTGGCCAGGCATGGTGGCCCATGCCTGTAGTTCCAGCTACTCAGGAGGCTGAGGCAAGAGGATCACTTGAGCCCAGGAGTAGAGTTTGCAGTGAGCTATCATGACGCTACTGCACTCCAGACAGGGTGAGAGAGCGAGATTCTGAATCAGAAAAATAAAGCAAAGAAAAGAAATGAACCCTTCCTTACTGCGCTGGGTCCAACTACCCAGGAAGAGTCTTTAAATGAAGTTTATTCAGTTACTGGGAAGTTTGGTATTCAAGAAATGTTCCAGGCCAGGCACAGTGGCTCACGCCTGTAATCCTAGCACTCTGGGAGGAGGAGGCAGGAGGATTGCTCAAGCTCAGGAGTTTGAGACCAGCCTGAGAAAGAGCAAGACCCCATCTCTACAAAAAATAGAAAGAAATTAATTGGCCAACTAAAAATATATAGAAAAAATTAGCAGGGCATGGTGGCGAATGCCTGTAGTCCCAGCTACTCGGGAGGCTGAGGCAGGAGCCCAGCAGTTTGAGGTTACTGTGAGCTAGGCTGAAGCCATGGCACTGTAGCCCAGGCAACAGAGTGAGACTCTGTCTCAAAAAAAAAAAAAAAACAAAAAGAGGCCGGGCGCTGTGGCTCACGCCTGTAATCCTAGCTCTTGGGAGGCCGAGGCGGGCGGATTGCTCAAGGTCAGGAGTTCAAAACCAGCCTGAGCAAGAGCGAGACCCCGTCTCTACTATAAATAGAAAGAAATTAATTGGCCAACTGATATATATATAAAAAAAAAATTAGCCGGGCATGGTGGCGCATGCCTGTAGTCCCAGCTACCCGGGAGGCTGAGGCAGAAGGATCACTCGAGCCCAGGAGTTTGAGGTTGCTGTGAGCTAGGCTGTCGCCACGGCACTCACTCTAGCCTGGGCAACAAAGCGAGACTCTGTCTCAAAAAAAAAAAAAAAAAAAAAAAAAAAAAGAAAAGAAAAGAAAAGTTCTGGTATGAACCATTGAGACTACAGTAAAATTACTCAACTAAGAACAGGAAACCTACCTTACTGCTTACTTGGGACGAACTTGACAAACACCTCAAGATGAGAAAATATTTCCAAAATTAAAGTGTAGAGGCAGGGAGGGAGAGAAGGAAAATGCAGTAGACACAAGGGCTGCAAAGAGCATCAAACACTCCTCCAACAAAGGGGAGGGAGTCTGAAAAGTCTAGAAAGAGCAATAGAAGTATATGATTTAGAAACATGGTGGTAAATACCAGGACAAAGAGCTAGAAATGTTGAGGGTGGAAGAGAGAGGCTGAGGATTACTGACTTTTCATTACAGGCTTTCCAGAACTGTAGACTTTTCAAACTTTGTACATAGTATTATAGTAATGAAAATACAAGTTTAAGGCACCAAAAGTGAAATGCAGTATTTAGGCCTTATACTAGCGTATTCGTTCACATTATCCCTGCCAATTTCATAAGTGGTAGATATGACCTGCTTCTAGAATGATGGCATAGAAAGAAATCCCAAGGTGTAACAGCCATGGTGATTCTCTGATGAAAACGTGCTAGCACAGGAACCAGTAGAGAAGGCAAAAAAAATGTCAGAGAAGAGGTGGGGAGCAGGTGGAAATAGGTCTCCCCTCCAAATGATACCCTGAATGTCAGTGTGAAAGCAGAAAAGTAGAGTGAGAATTGGCAGGAAAGCTGTCAAAGGAGGGAGGTGACAAACAACATGGCCGGGCACGAGCTGATACAATTCACACACTCAGGAAGGGGAAGGCTGGGCTAAAGCAGAGAACACAGTGCCTTTCTGCCCAAGTCTGCCACACCAGCTGCCTCGCAGATCCTACAAGCTCTAAAGATGACAGCTGGCTGCCTCTTGGGTTACAAGCCACCGGATTCAACAGCAAAACTCAACAAAAATGTCTTTGTTCCTTGTATTCCTTCCACAAAAAGCCTGAGAAACATCACAGTTTCAAAACGTATTTTATCATTACTGGGGTAGTTAAAGAAAAGAACCTCAAGTATGCTTTAGATTTAACCCCAACATTTCCCAAATACCCTCAATTTTGCATTTAAAAGGAAAACAATTCTTCCATTGCAAAAGGACTGCCTTGGTCCCCTCTAATTTAGCCTAAATATTGGCTGTCATCTGATCCCCAGATCTGTCCTTTCTTGGAACTAAGCCATATAGCCTAAGAAAAAATTTTTTAAAAAAGTATCAATAAGTGATAAAGCTTTAGGAGATGTAAAAGCACTATCTAAGGATAAATATGGCACTAATTAACCTTTACCTATATTTTCTGCAGCCCAAGATAAAAGTTTAATGAGTTCAAGACTTTATTGTGTCCCAGGTGCCTTAAAAAACAAAGTCTAAGGTAGTTAGGTTCTCTTACCAACGATGAAATTTCTAAATGGCAGTGTATATGGGACCCACCTGAGTTCCGGTAAGACTGGATTCCACCACGTTCCTTGCCTTTGAATAGTTCACCTGGGGACAGTAGGCAAGCCCACCCAACCCCCCAGCAGACCATTTCCAGTCTCTTAGGCAACACACACAGTGATTCTCTCAAATTTTCTAGTGTGTTCCTCAAGTATTCCTTAGAAGGATTCCCCAACCTCTTCCTTTCCTACTGCCCATTAGGGTCTCTGTTCATTTGTTTTCAAGCCTGACTGATTTTGATTCTTTCCGATTCTGCATATTCAAGTTGTGCATGAAGTATGAAGCAGTCTTCTATCAGTGTTGTGCTCCTTGATGCTGGGTGGCACTGCTAGCTTCAGCAGCCTCTGTCGCTGCAGATCAAACCTAACCACCACCCCCAGTGGCTCTCAGGTACTGCCTCATGCAGGGGGGGGCCCAGCC